TGCAACAGGGAAGTATTGCTTCTGTCAAAGCTGTGATCCCAGTCTCTGTACAGTAAAAAAAGCACCTCTGCGGCAGAACGACTCCCAGGGGAGAAAACAGCACAAGAAAAGCTTATTTTAAGCCAGTCATATCCCTCTGCTGATTTCAGAGGGGACTGGTGGGGCTGGGAACAGCGGGAGACCACGGGGGACCCCAGTGGCAGAAACCCTCAGAAAACTTGGAGAGATCAGAGAATCACAGAATGGTTTGTGTTAGAAGCACCTTAAAGATCATCTTGTTCCACCTCCTACCGTGGGCAGGACACCTTCCACTATCCCAGGTTGCTCCAAGCCCCGTCCAACCTGGTCTTGGACACTTGCAGGGATGGGGCAGCCACAGCTTCTCTGGGCAACCTGTGCCAGTTACTCAGAGCCCCATCCAGCCTGGCCTGAGGTACCTTTGAGATCAGACCTCTTTCTCCATCCTTCTGGCACAAACCTGGGATGCTTCACATGTAAATGAGAGAGTGTCTCCAGCTTCTCCTTGTCCAACAGGATGGGGACACAGCCAGTTTCCCATCTCCTGTGGCTCATTTCTCTATTGCTTTATGTGCTGAGTGCAAGCACCTGAGGATTCAAGCTAATGCCTGGTCACCTCTGAGGGCTGCAGAAGATTGAGCAGGAGACGTCAAAAGCGAACAATTTAAAGCAACACATTTAATTAAAACCAAAATGAGAAGTTGTTGTGAGTCCAACAATTGCAGTCTGCAGAGCTCTGACAATCTTCAGGGAAAATTAACACAGGCTGCTAATAGCAGCATCCAATTCACCGGTGTCTTGGATGAAACATTCATGGGGGAAGGCAGGAAATAATCTTCAGATGAAACAATTACTGATCAGCTGCATGGCAAGGACACGATGGCATCATTCAGGAGGGCAGACGCAGATGCATGAAGATTAAAATAAGAAAAAACCAAAAGCTTCCTCCGCCTCTGCCATCTTGTCCAGATGCTCCAACCCAAAACACGGTCTCAAGTGGAAATTCCATTTCCCACCGTTCTCCTGGCTTTGCACGGTGGGGACTGGATTTGCTCTCCTCCCCCTGTCGCTCACAGGGCAGTGTCCATCCCAGGAGAGTTCATCCAGACTTGCAGGGGTGATGGAGCCATATCAGAGCAGTTCAGAGTTCAGCTCGGAGCAGAGACACAGCAGGGACAGCACCTGCCCATGCCAAGCTCCAAGCACAGAGTGGGGACAATGTCTGCCCATGCCAAGCTCCAGATCCATGACAGGGACTGTGCCTGCCCACACTGAGCTCTGCACACCCAGCCTGCAGCTCTGCAAGGTGAAGAAAAATTACCACATCTCTCCTGGCATTTGCCTCAGAAGAGGAGGGAAGGAGCTTGTAAACGCCCCGAGATGTCTTTGAAGTGACACAAACCTGCTTTACGCCCTTTCTTTATTTCCACTTATAAAACAAAGCCCTACAAGCCCCTCACTAAATGCAGCTCTTGCTTCCTTCAGTACCACTGGAGGATCTCACCCACCTCTCCCACTAAAGGATCCAGACACAAACATCCACCCACACCATATATAACCTCTCACAGGCTGTAAAAAGGGGAAACTTTAATTGATGCTATATTTCATACTGTTGTGCAGCAAGGACGTACTCCAGGCTGAGCCCTCCAGGGTATCTTTCTCCAGCCCTGCCTTCCCTGCAAGCAGCTCCCATTGCACCATCTCTACTTTTTGAATGATTAGTTACAAGAAAAAAAAAAAAACAACAACAAACAAAAAACAACTATTGAATGTACAGCTGAGCGGCTCACATTTTCATAACAGTTTTATTACTCAGATGGACGGGCTCTCCTTCGATTCTTCCCCACTTTGACTCTGTTAAAGGGTCCTTTAAATAATGCCTTGCATTTCCATATCCTCATAAAAGCCACTACGGTTCTTTCCATAAATCTGAGCCACCTCTGAAATGAGAGCGATGCCTTCTGCTCAGCACGGGCAGAGGCTCTCCCAAAACACAAAAGCCCTGGAGCAGCAGAAGGGAGGAGAGGATGCTCCAACTGCTCCACCTGAAGAGAGGATTTAGAGGCACCAACTCATTTCTGGGAGGCAGGAGGTCCCAGCCCTCCCTGTGAGCCATGGCTGCTCCTGCCAGGCTCCACTGGCCCCATGAAGTGAAGGCAGAGCAGCTGTGCAAAACAGGCAATAACTGCTCAGCGAGGAGCGAGGCAGGGGGACCCCATCAAATGAACAAAAGGAAGAAAACAAACCGAGAGAGAAATAAGGGCAGTAGAGACAGGCTGGTTATTAAGCACTGCTGCTTGGAATATATCCTCCCAGCTTGGCTGCCAGTTGGCTTCTGGTCCCAGTCCTTCCCCTCCCCTTTCCCACAGTGCCACTCCAGCGGGCTCAGGAGCTGCTTCCTCTGATGCTGTTGCTCGCTGCAGCAGGGAACGCTGCTCTTCTCCAAGGCTGGAGACATTTGGGGGGGCTGCTCCCCCCTCTCCTTTACCCAGCTTGGCTCTGGCTGCTGGCACTCCGGAGCTGGCTGGCATCTATTTAAAGTTTCCTTCAAAGCCGAGTTCTCATCGTCTAGGAGAGGGATTTCTTTCAGCCTCTGCCTTTGTTTGGCTTCTCCTGCAGAGGTGCCGGTAGCGGCTCCGCTTTCACATTTTCCTTGGCTCCTGACGCCTATTGAAATGCTGCATTTCAAAAAGGAATGAGAGGGCACCGCTCCCTCGCACAGGAACATCTCCTGTGAATGCACCATCCCTGCCTTCTCGCAGAGCCTGCCTTATCATCACGTGAAACACAAAAGGGGAACAGCTTCGGGAACCAGGCGATTTAAGCGCACGGCAACACTTACAAGACGCGGAGCCACCATCAGGTGCCACGTGAGAGGCTGTTTCAAGACTGATCAAAGCTCCCAGACTCTGCCAGGCCGTACACATCAGCTCTGCTGCCGCCTCGGTGCCATGGGGATGCCCAAGCCAACTCCCTTTTTCAGCTGGGAGAAAAAGCAGGTTTAACTCCCTGCAGGAGATTGCTAGGGAGGGGCAGGTTCCCTGTTCCCCACCAGACTCCAGGTGCTGAGCCTTGGCAAGCACAGCCAGCCACGCTTTTCCTGGGTATCATTAAAATTTCCCAACCCAGCTCAGTTCTGCTCTGCAATATTTTGCTGCCAGTTAGATGCCACCTCGGGATTTGTTGTTATTCAGAAAGGAGGGACAACTTTTAAGAGCTTTTCTCTTCCCAGGCAAGGAACTGCCATCACATAAAATGATGAGATTTCAGGAAAAGTGATAGCCACTGCAAAATGTCTTGGCTGCTTCTATGTGAGGAATTTGACTGTTTCTCATAAAAAATATTAAAAAAGTTTTCACAGTTTGTAATTATATTTTACAGTTTCATTACAAAGCTCATTTTAATTCTTCTCCAAGCCATTGTTACCAGTCCTCTTGCCACTTTCTCTTCAGAAAAGTCATTAAGTCAGGACTGGAGATCATCCCATTTCCCCCAGTTTCAAGGATATTAATCTGTTTTATTGGTATTTCATTGTCATTTTCATTTGAGTGTTCTCTGCATTTGCATAATTTGCATTGCTACCCCTTTCCTGGTGACAGGCACAGGCTCAGCTTTTCGCTTTCATTCTACGCAGTCTCACTGCATTTTGTTTATTTTCTTTTTTGAGGACACTTTTTCTTCCCTGGGCCAGAATCCCAGGCTGGGACCAGGATGCTGAGATCTTATCTCCATCACTGCCTGCCTGGTGAACCTTCAGCAAGTACCAAAACCAGTTGTGAAGTCCCAGCGCAAGTGCTGAACTGGCCAGTGCCCATCCCAAAGGGACACAGGTTTGCACTAGAGCAACCTCATTCACCCAGTGCAAGAGTTCCTGTTCTCCAGCTACTCAGAATAACCATCTGTGAAGACTTCAAAATATTCACGTGCAGCCTGGACAATCCTGAAAGCCTTTCAGAAACAGGTTAAGGCATAGAAAAGTCCCTTTTTTCAAATCACAAAACCACAGAATTGAAGAATGGTTCAGGTTTGGAAGGGACCTTAAGGATCATCCTATTCCAACCCCCTGCCTGCCATGGGCAGGGACATCTTCCACTAGACCAGGTTGCTCAGAGCTCCAACCAACCTGGCCTTGAATATTTCCAAGGAGAGCCACTCTCACTCTAGTTAATCCCACCTCAAACACACTAGTGACTCCCATCTTGCCACAGGGTGATGGTTTCAGCCCCTCTCCACCACTCCCTGCAGTTGTCACCCTTTTGAACCTCTTTAACCATCTTCCTCTCCCCAAAACATTAATCCTCCAAGAGCTGCCCTTGAAAGTGGGGGTTTCCTAGAGCTGCCCACACCAGGACACCCCAGCAGCTGTCGATGCACTGGTTCCATGCAGCACATTCCTGGCAGAGAGAGAAAGTGCCCCTTCCACATGCCCCAAGCAACGAGACGAGTGCAGGAGCTGAGGAATTGGAACCGACTGAATAATGGGTCCTGTCTGCTGGAAGAAAATGAAATTTGCCCTCATGTTACCGAAAACTTGCACTCGGCGCTCACTGCACATTATAAAGAAAAGGTCAGTGAAACACAACAAATGCAAGGAGCCCAGTTGGAGAAAGCAATAAATAGTGACAGCAGCACTCGTCTAATTTTTCAAAGCCTCTCTGCTTTTGCTCAAACCCCAGCAACTCCCCTCCCTGCTGCTGCAAGGGCTGGGACGAGCAGCTCTGCTGCTGCAGGACAGGAGGATGCCTGTCTGTGCAGGCTCCCAGGGCTGGAGCTCGGAGGAAAACCGGAATATCCGTCAGATACGATTAGCAGCCATAATAAAAACGATAATATTAATTGACACTATTAAGATTGTGGCCTCGGGCTCGCAGATGCGCTTTGCTCCCGTGCAAAGGGGGATCCCCGCAGTTGGAAGTAGCCGGAGCAACGCCAAAAGAGAGGGATTCCCACGTGCCAAAGGCAGAGTCCTGGGAGGGTCTTACCGTCGGCAATGAAGTGCTCGGGGACGTGCAGCGTCACCTTGACGGTCAGCGGGCAGGAGAGCTGCGAGCCACAGACCACGGCCAGCACGCAGGAGCTGACTGCGATCAGCGTCAGCGCCGTCTTGTTGACGGGGCTCTTCATGGAACCTGCAAGGCAGAGACAGGGCTGGGTGGCCAACAGGCAAAGATGCACCCCCAGAGCTTGCTTGGCCTACCCCCCCCCAAAGCAGGAGACCCCCCCAGCCCGGGGAAGGCAGGTACTGAAAACAAGGGTAGCAGCTCAGCGGCAGCGGAAGAGCTCCTGAGGTCCCGCACACCTCCCATCTTTCCCATCACACCTTCTCTGGCTGAAATTTTAACACTCGTGTTGTTCCACTCACTGAGCTGCAGTGGAGGCTTCATTTTGCTAGAGGAGGGGGAAAACCTTCTCAGAGCTCTGTACAGACCCTTTTCCCAGGAACTTCCCCTTCCCAGAGCAACCCATCACCCCTGCCACACTCCCCTGGTAAAGCCACCATCACTTCTCGTCAATCTTGGTTTATTCTGCAAAACTTGTCAAGCCACAGAAAATAACTAAGCAAAATCTGAGGGCTGTCTGGACCATGAGACCACTTGCTTTCCCTTAACACCAGGGAAATTACACCTGTCAAAGTTATATAGCACTAATGACTGCTAATTATTTACACAAATATATAAATACTCAGTCATCACAGAGGGACTACACTGTACAACACAGCGACCTCCAGAGCCAGCTGCTTCTGACAGGCAGGAGATGTTACAAAACAAGTTTTATTTTATCAGGTGCAGGAGCTCACAGCGTCTCCCACAAATCAGGATGCACGGGATGCCACCTGTCAAAGCAGGCACCCAGTCTGCCTGGTCCCCAACTGGCACGCTCATGCCACATGTGTCACTCCCAGGCTGCCATCCTTCATCTCAAAGGCCACATGCCTGGCAGCAGGACTAAGGGATGCACCAAGAAATAACCCCACGAGCTAAAAGGATCCCACTGTCCCACGGCTTTACTCAGCTCAGTACACTCAGCCACCTGGTTGGTGGCTTCTATTTTATTCAGATTTTTTTTGAAGTAATAGGTAAAAATAAGCCAAAAAGGACCTCAAGCATCCACAGGTCATTAGGGGCCACAGCAGGTACAAATCCACTGGGAAAACCTCGTGGAAAAGTGCGGTGTTGGGATGGCTGAATCACCATCAGCTACAGTGGGGTGGGAGAGAACAACCCCGAGATTCTGTAGGGAATGGGGTGAAGTCATCAGGAGAGATCTGGCTTCCTCAGGAGATTCAGGAGATTGCTGCTGCTGGATACAGGCTGGGAATGCCTTTGTGTCCAAGTGAGACACCTTCCACCAATGCAGATGACCAGGAAAAACCATCTCAGGCCACTGCTACCCCATCAACAGGTCTTCAGTGCCTGAGAAGGGAGCAGCCCTGGAGCCTGCATCCTTGGGGCACCCCTGATCCCTCAGGACCCGGGGGCTCCCCCGCCACTGCTCCCACTGCATTGAATCCCCCACAGCCACCTCACACCACCTTTCCTCAAAGCCAACAACGGGCACCTCACAGAGCAGCTGGTTCCCTTCTCTGGGGCTTGGGATGCCAACTGAAAACCAGCTGGTGAGAGTGTCCATGACAAGGAGAAGGCACAGCCTGGCACTGAACCCATTGAGTGGCTGCACAGGCCATTACGGTGCAGCTGAGACAACCGAGCTGCTGGCAGACCTGACCACATCCTTGCTCAGGATTCAGGACACTTACTTAGTTTTGGAAACCAGTGCAGCCTCTCCCTGCTTGCTCCCTGGCCCTCACCATCTCATCAGCAAAGCAAGATTTGAAAATTGAACAGGAAATAGATCCACAAGTTAGCACTTGCACACCCTGTAATTTGACCAAAGCTGCTGCTGCAAATGCTGGTGCTTGGGCAGGGACCTCATGCTTGGTACAACCTGTGCTTTCCAGGCAGGGCAGCGAGCCTCAACAAAGCATTCCCTGCCACAGCATGGAGCCTGCACAGGGGATGCTCCAGCCAGGATCTGCAGGACAGGAGAAGCAACTGATCTGCCGGAAAACACCCCCATCATTTCGACCAACAAGAGCATGCAAATTGATTATTTATGAAGCATCTTTTCCTTTCCTTATGTATGCATCATCTAAACAGCCTTCCCACCCCCATTTCACAGCTTTATCCCAATCCCCTGTGCCCTTCACCTTGCAATCCCCCTTTTTTCCTTCCTAATCTTTATTCATGTCATCAGCATAAGTTAGCACCTCCTTGGGAGGCAAACTCATCCTCTCTCTGGGCATACTGTGCCTGCCACAACCCCTGCTTGGCTGTAAGCTATGACAGGAATGGAAAAGAAAAAAGAGGGGGGAAAAAAAGAAAGAAGAAAAAAGAAAAGGCAAGGGAAAAAATCTCCATCGGGATAAGTGGACACAATCAAATACACAATAGACCAGAGAACACTGGATTTCACCATTATAAATCACCTTTCAATCCAGGGTCTTAAAGTGCTTTGCAAACATTAAATCGTAAATCCTTTATGAGTTAGATGAATATTATCCCCTTCTCACAAAGAGTCTGAATCACAGGTATGATGGCAGCTTTCAACATCCTGCAGACAGAGTGGAGCTGCAGGAATGAGGATCTCCCACCCCCATCAGTCCATGGGTTTCTTCTCCTCCCCTGACTCAGAGGAGAGGAGCATAAGAGCTTGAAACAGAAAAAAAAAACCCTTTACAGCTCCATGAGCTTGAGTTTGGCTGCCCAAGGAAAGGGACAGTTGTTCCAAGTCTCCTGCAACTCCCTTCCCTGCTTCCTTGCCTCCTGTACTCACTCATTTCCATCAGACTGCTAATGACTGACCTCTAGAACTGCCTGACATTGGTTTTGACCAACTGAACCACAACAATGTGGCTTCTGCTTGAGCAGAAATTGCATTTCCAGCTCAGCTCTTTATTGCTCACGGCCAGTTTGCTGCCAGGTTTGAAGGGAGACTGCTGGAAAAGCAGATCCTTCCCTCGTTCTTTGAACAGAGGGACAGGGCTCTTGTTTTCCGTCCCCTTCCCTGCTCTTCAGACCACTGATGCTCCAGCAGAACCACTGCTGTGCTGCATTTAAACACCCATCTGGAGATAAACAGTTTCACTCCAGGCCTCTAAAACAATAAGCAATTGTACTCTCAGCAAGCCCCTGCTAACCAAACCCACCTCACCAGGGCTTCACTCTGTTCCAGAGTTGAGACAGACAGATCCATTCCTTCCTCAGCCCAGGGAGGGGATCCAAATCCTGCTTGGTAGCTCAGGCAGTCCCAAATAAACCCCAGTGCTGCAGATGGGAGCAGGCTGAGTCCTGCTCTTTCCCTCCTCTCCTTGTCAGCTCCAGGCTTTCAGGGAGGTGTTTGAAGAGCAGATTTGCAAACCCAGGTTACCAAACAAGCTGGTATCAATTTCCTTTACCAAAAATGAGGAAGCTGGGTGGGGAATATCCACCCTCATGGGTGGCTGATGGCGTTCAGGAGCCCTGAGAGCCACAGTACCCAATGTAAACCTTGATTTGAGTATCTCAGGTACAAAAAGGCCAAGAGGAAGACTGTAACCAGGTACAGCTGAGACCAAACTCACTCCCCAGATCCTCCTGCCCTAAAAAATTGCTTCATACATTAAGATGACCTCTCTGTGTTTTTAATTAAAGATGTTTCTATTGTATTTTGAATGGTTGCAACAGAGTGAGTGGATGCCCAGTTGGGCTGTTCTGGGGAGAAAGTGATGGTCTGTGGGGGCTTCCAGGAGTGGCAAACCTGGAGAGCCTGTGTCCAAGAAGCAGTTAGAGCAGCAGGCAGGGCAGTGGGCAGGGTACACAACCAGGATGAAGAATAAATTACTTTTTGCCAAAGGGGGAGAACTAACCTCTCCCCACAGTCTGCAAGATCAAAGAGTGAGAAGCAGAAAAAAAAAAAAAGTAAACTGCTCAACTTCAGGGCAGAATCATACCTGAGATAATCCATGCTAGAGTTCCAATGGCAGCTTAATTCAACTGGAAAACAACAGGAGTAGCCAGGACTGTGGTCAGAGGTGCTCCAGTCACCACCACCTTCCCCACCCAGGATTTTTTTCCTATCTTTAAACCCCAGTGCAAACTAGCCTGGAGAAGATGTGGGTCCCTCTGCAGACAGCTCAGAAACCGCTTGCAAAGCACCACATTCCCCTGAAGATTTTGCACCTGCTGCAAGATGAAGATAAATTCAAAGCCACTGGTGTAAACACTCAGCAAACAGCCCCTCCAAACGCACCGTGTCTCCTTTGAAATATCATTTCCTCGTGCAGTTAATTACTCACTGCTTTGTACACTTTCCTTTACCCACCTAAAGGACAAGGCAAGGAAAACAAACAAAAAAAAAACCAACAAAACTCTGAGCTCATTTCTTTTTAATATTGCCAGTGCTGCCTAAATTTAGGGAGGGGGAAAAAAAAAATAAAAGGTGTGTTCAGAACACATATGGATTTACGAGCAACACAAATATCCCGTGCTCTTGGTAATATGATGTTTCTAAATCAGGCTCATAAATACATGCTTGGGAGATTAGTCTATAAAAAAAAAATAAACTTTAATTACCCCATCTTTATCAGCACACAGCCCGTGGTGTTAACCATATGTGGGTGTTAAATGCCAAGTGCTTTGCAATCTTCCCCGCCCCATCCCCCCCCGGAGATAACGGCATCGTACGGAATGTTTCGTGGCTACTCGGGATATGAAAATGTATTCCCACCAGCCGAGGAAGACGGGGATGGGGAATGAGAGAAGGAGAACAGAGAGTGCTGGAACTGCTTAGCAACACACACACACACACACACACACACACACAGAGCCACCGTTGCCCGCCGTGCTGTGCCGCATGCGGAACACCCGGCACGGGGACAGCAGCACCCCGGGAACAGCGATCCCACCACAGCCCATCCCGCACCCCCGAGATGCTCCCAGAGCACACCGATGTTGCTGGCATGTCAAGAGGAATTGGGCTCCTAATGATCCTCCATTATGTTCCAGCAGAGGCTCATTAATACGGCACAGCAGCGTTTCCAGGACACCCTCACACACAGGAACATCTCGAGGTGTTTTACGAGGGGGAGATC